AATACCACACTCTAGTCAGGAATCTCCTAATAGCACCTACCTCAGAGGGTCATTGTGAGGATCAAATGAAATAATATTTGTGAAGATTTAGCTAGGGCCTGGTAGATGGTAGATGCTTAACAAACATTTATTCCTTATGAGAACATGAGCTCCTTGAGGGCAGGACTATCTCACTTTTCTATTTGTATAGTCTTTAGCACAGTGCTTTGCACCCATTGAGTACTTAATAAATGATTTTTCCTCATTTCAAATGCGATATTTGTATTGCACTTAGCACAGAGCCTGGTCTATAGTAAGTGCTTAGGTAAATGTTTTTTATCATCAGCATCATCATTCACAGCAAAGCAAATTCCATTTTATAATCTATAAACAACAAACCCGGTGGGATTTTGTATTCTCTGGGTCTACCTTTCAGTCAAGTGTGTGACTGTAAAGAGCGAGTTATGCTGAAGGAAATCATTTGAGAAAGCTTGACCCTTTCCTCCACATATTTTCCTCAAGAAGAATGTCGATATAACTTCAGGGTTCAGCACAGTGCCTGGCATATCAGTGATGCTTCATTGATTATGAATATGTGGGTCGATATTTTCTCATAATTTTTTTAGAGATAAGGAAGTACATAAGTGCTTAACCATGTGTCAGGCCCTTTGTTAAGAAAGTAGGCATGTGACTCAATTACTAGTTACTGATGGTAATTTTTTTTTTTTGGCTAGGCAATGGGGTTAAGTGACTTGTCCAGGGTCACACAACTAGTAAGTGTTATGTGTCTGAGGCTGGATTTGAACTCAGGTCCTCCTGACTCTGTGCCACTTAGCTGCCTCACTAATAGTAATTCTTTATAATGTATATACATACATATGTATGTATGTGTATATACACTCGTATGTACATGTGTACACACACACACACATATGTAAGTTTAAATCAGTTTCATGAGAAATCACCTTCACAACCTCCTCCTCTTGCTCCTTCTCATTCTCATGGTTCCTGGGGACCTACCTGTCACTGGGTGAGCGGAGTCTTTGGTCTGGGCCAGGAGCAGGAACCACGGGGATCTGTCAGTCCAGGATCCCAGGCTGGGTGTTATAGACAGCTGAGCATCAGTGCCCTGAGGAGCAAGGGTCCTAGCTCAGCAGAAGCTGACAGTGATTCTGGCTTTGGGTGTGAATTTAGTAGGACCAATGCTCTGTAGGAAACATGAGCCTAATACCTCCTATACCCGGAGACCAAGGAGTTACAGAAGGGATTGTGCCCCGAAGGTGTCAAGGGAAAATGTATGTTTACTCTTACTATATCTATGGAGTAAATGTCAAACCAGTTTATAGTTCCACCAACAGGGCATTAATGTGCCTGGTTTTCCACATACCCTCCAACATTTGTAGTATTAATATTCTCTTTTCATCAATTTTGGCAATCTACCGGGTAAAAGGAAGAATCCCAGAGTTGCTTTAATTTGCATTTCTCTAATAATTATATTACATTATTATTACATTGTATATTATATTCTATATCATATTATATTGTATTATATTACATTATTATTACATTGTATATTATATTATATATCATATTGTATTATATTACATTATTATTACATTGTATATTATATATCATATATTGTATTATATTACATTATTATTACATTATATATTATATTATATATCATATTATATTGTATTATATTACATTATTATTGTATATTATATTATATATCATATTATATTGTATTATATTACATTATTATTCCTCCTAGATTTCTTCCTTTAAAAGTCTACTCATATCCTTTGATATGGGGAATAACTTTTTTACATTTGAATCTGTCTGTTTCTTATGCATCGTGGAAATGAAACCTACCACACAGATTTTTTCTCCAGTTATGTTTCCCTTCTAATTTTAGCTGCAGTTTCGTGTGCATTTTATGTAATCATTTATGTAAAATTGTCTAGTTTATCATCTGTGATCCTCTCTATCCCTTGTTTGGTCATGAATACTTCTCCTCTTCATAGATCTGAAAGATAATTTCTTCCTTGCCATTCTGTTTAGAACGTTACCCTTTATCCCTCTCAGTCATAAATCCATTTGGAACTTATCTTGACACATGGTGTGAGATGTTTGTCTATACTTAAGTTTCTGCCAAATGACTTTCTGATGTTCTTCGCCGTTTTGTTTGAATAGTGAGCGCTGGTCCCCGTTGCTAGGGTCTTGGGTTTATCAAACATTAGGTTACTGTGTTCATTTGCTTCTATATGTTTTGTACTTAATCTATGCCACTGAACAAACTATTTCTTAACCACAGCAACTCATTTTGATGATTACAGTTTTGTAGTATAGTTTGAGTTTTGGTTTAGGCCCTCTTCTTTTCTACTTTTTTCTACTTACTTCCCTTGAGAGTTTTGTTTTTGGGAGTTTTTTTTGGTGAGGCAATTGTAGTTAAGTGACTTGCACACAGCTAGTTAGTGTTATGTGTCTGAAACCAGATTTGAACTCAGATCCTCCTGACCAGTGCTCTATCTACTGATTCACCTAGCTGCCCCAAATTTAATTTTTTTGTTTTTATTTTTTGGTGAGGCAATTGGGGTTAAGTGACTTGCCCAGGGTCACACAACTAGTACGTGTCAAGTGTCTGGTCTGAGACCAGATTTGAACTCAGGTCCTCCTGACTCCAGGGCTGGTGCTCTGTCCACTGCACTACCTAACTGCTCCTTTCCTTTGATATTTTTTTAAATTAATTTATTTATTCTGATTTATCAATAATCATTTCCATAAGCTTTTGAGTTTTAAATTTTTCTCCACCTCTCTCCCTAAGATGGCACACAATCTAACACAGACTCTACATATACATTCCTATTAAACATATTTTCACATTAGTCATGTTGTAAGGAAGAATTAGAACCAACAGAAGGAACCACAAGAAAGAAGAAACAAAACAAAACAGAATTAAAAAAAGAGCAAATAATATGCTTCCATCTGCATTCAAACTCCATGGTTCTTTCTTTGAATGTGGATAGCATTTTCCATCATGAGGCCTTTGGAGATGTCTTCCCTTGAGATTCTTGACCTTGCGTTCCTCCAGATAAAATTCATTATCATTTTTTCTAGCTTTATGATGTATTCCTTTCATAGTTTGATTGGCATGGCACTGATTAAATTAATTTGGGTAGTATTGTCACTTTTATTTATTGGTTTGGCTGATGCATGAGCAGTAAATATTTCTCCAATTATTTAGCTTTATCTTTATGTGAAGAGTGTTTTGTAGTTGCTTTTTGTATGGTTCCTATGTGTGTTAGCACATAGGCTACCAAGTATTTTATGCATTTGGTAGTAATTTAAAATATAATTTTTCTATCTTTCCCCACTGGATTATGTTGTTTATGTATATCGATTATGTAATTCATATGATTTCTTTTAATTTTCTTTTCAATTTTAATTTTATTTCAATTTTGCTGTTGTTATTTCAATTAAGTTTTTAGTTTGCTCTCTAGGGTTCTCTGAGTAAACCATCATATCATCTTTAAAAAAGCAATTGTGTTTCCTTTTTACCTATGCTTATTCTCTTCTCTTGTCTTATTGCTACAACTAACACTTCTAGCACTACATCAATGAGTAGTGCTGATAATGGACATTTGTGCTTTGCCCCTAATCTTACTGGAAAGCCCTCTAGTTTATCCCCATTACATATATTACTGGTTCTTGGTTTTAGATACTACTTACCATATTAAAGAAAGATCTGTTAATTTCTATGTTTTCTAGAATTTTTTTTTTAAAAGCAGGCATGTATCTAAGAGCAGTATGTAAGTGCTTAAGAGCAGGACCTCTTTCCCCATGCCTTGATTGGATTAATGTAATTATCAGACTAAGAGAAGGAAGAAATATTTGATTTTTTCAGTTTAATGGAAGTATCTCTTGAGGTCACTTGGAGTATTGAAGAAATGGAGTGAAAGGTTTTAGAAAAAATGCTTCTCTAGGGTGTGCCCAAAGTTAAAAGGTTATTGTTTGATGAAAGAAAAGTTACCTAAGCTTTCACCTGGGCTTTGTAACCAATAGATGCATCTTGTGAAATTTTGTTTATTATCTAGAAATGTTATAAATTGTAAACTCCAGATTGACTTGTGTTAGAGAAATTTCCAAAGGCCTGGATTTTCAGCAGAAAAAATACTTACTTAGAATAATTTAAATGAATAAAAATGTTCCAGCAGGCTTGTGCCTAAAGTTCCGAGGACAGTTTTCTTCCATAGTATAGATGCCAGAGTGGAGCCTCTACAAGCTTTTCACTGGTTATTTGTGCCTTTATTCTCTCACATGTGACACCATGACTTCCCCCCAAACTTGGCCAGTCTGACAATGACACACCAGCTTTACAGCTCAGACCTAATTGAAAAACTCCCTTTTCCATGATGCAGAGCAAAGAAGACCCACCCTGATGCCATTCTCAGCTGCTGGGCTCAAACTGTAGACCCCTTCCCCTGGTTGTTGGCTGGCGAAGGAGTGGTATGAATGAATTGATCAGGAACTCAATTTTTATCTAAAATCTTTTAGATTTTGATGGAGATGGTAAATCTTGAATGGAGAAGAGAGCAGGAGTACACAGGGGAGATGGAGGTAGAAAGATGGTCCTATGGGGATTAAGGAAAGGTGCTGAAGAACAGCTTCACCCGACCTACCACCTAAAGCATCACCTGGTCTTCACCTAAAATACGACCTTAACTTGATGAGTGTGACTTGGGAGACAATAATTATTATTCTACATTTGTGGGGTTTATCTATTCCTTTTATTTCCCCTGGGGATAGAGTTCTGGGAAGCCATTTCTTTGAGATGGGTGGCCTAAAGAATATATTACCTGAGCCAGGAAAGGGGTGACTAGACTCTAGGAATGCTAGGCACCTATGATCTGCAGATGATTGCAACCCCTCCATGCGTTCCCATGTTAATATTAAATAGTCAACATCGACCAAATTAAAATCTTCAAAGAAAAGACAGGAGACTCCATGTTTGACTCAAAGTAGAATTCTTATTCAAATGTAAACTTTTCTCCAAAACACAGGGAGAAAACATCATTAACAGACATTTCAACTCTTAAGTGAATCCAGTTTAGATTCACATTTTTCTAAAATGCAAAGGGGAAGCAATCCGTTCAATTAATAACCACCACCACCCACCACAACACCACCATCTTTACTAGGTACCTATCAGGTGTTCAAAACACACAAGTCTCCACTCTCAAAAGAGACATGATTCACATGCAGCAAATGGTAGGTTAGGAGTTTTTTGTTTGTCTTTAATTCTCAGTGATGCAGAAACTTTTAAAACACATCAACAATGAAAGACTTGTCAAATTAGTGCTTACAAGTCATTCCTTATGCTTTGGACACTTAACTAGACCAGAATATTTTGTTGTCTCTTGGGGGAAAAATCAGTTCAAGCTTCCATTCAGAGGGGGCTCCCCTTGTGAAAGTGCCTTGGAAAGTCATTCTAAATTCCTTCGCACCGATAAGCTACATCTGAAAGGTGTGGCCAAGCTCTATTAACATGACCCAACTTTTTTTCTTCAAGGACATATAGTTAAGTGACTTTTAAGTGGAAGAGTTGGGAGAAGAGGGATGTTCTTCACGTGTCCTGGACAGACCCAAGCCTCATCGCCATATCCACCGGATAAGGCCCAACCAATGTCATTCAAAGAGTGCAACTCACTCTTGATCAGTTACCCCAGAAAAAAGGGCTGTCCTACGTTATCCTTCCCCTTCTCCTCTTATGTAGCACAACTACCTCCAAACAGGGTGAACTTGTTTACTCTTGTAACTACTCATAAAAATCATTTCTGATACCCGGGAAAGACTTCAGGGCTTCTGTATACCATTAAGAGTTACAGCCACATGGTTCTCCCTTATGCTGGTGTTAGAGCCTTTCAGAAGAGTAACAAGGGGACACTTTTGAATGGAAGCATGGAGGGACAACAAGATACTTCTCTTATTATTGGAGGATGGCACAGCTGAGTGCCAACATGTGAATGAATGGATAGTGGGCATAAGATTGGTCTCTTAACTCTAGAGAGAGAGATCCCCCCTTTTCTCCCTCCATTTTCAGATTCTCTGGGAAAAAGTGGAAGGCCTAGACCAGAGCAAACAGTCGGCCTTTAGTTAACGCTGGTTCCAAGCCTGGCAGTTGAGTCTTCTGACTTATCCTTTCCCACTTGTTTTATGGGCCTTCCTTAGCTATGAATAGGTCTGCCTTCTAGAATACCAAAAACATTTTCCAAGCACTTTGTCACTCCCTGATTGAACTCGCCGACGTTTCTGCCACAGTGGGAGGAGACTGTGAACTTCAGGTAGTCTTGGTGGACGGAGTAGCCAACTGCAATGCCATCAGGCACCATCGGTGTGAAAGCGATGTTGGCCACCAAGGGGCTGCTCAGCGTGTTGGTTAAAAGGATGTTTTCATTGAGATAAGTACACGCAGGATCCTGGAAGAAGTCGGGAATCATGGGGCCTCTCTTTGCTGCTGCCAGGAACCTCAGGGCAAACAAGTGCCTGTCGAATCCCTGACCTAGGGAACAGATACAATGTTGTTACTGCTGACGATGGACCCCAACGGAGGGAAAGAGAAAGATGCCATCGTGGGAGGCCTTGGCTCCTGGGGAGCTGAGGACAGCTCTGCTAAAAAAGGAACACCCAAGTGACCGGTTTTCAGGATCATGAAATTTCAAAGCTAGAAGGGTAAATTTAAAAACATTTTAAAACAATCTGTAGAAAAGGACTGTCAGAGCTGGGAGGGGCCTTAGAACAAGGGATATCAGAGCTAGGAGGGGCCTTAGGAGAGAGAATGTCAGAGTTAGAGGAAACCCTGTAACGTAGAACATAGAATATTAGGGCTATAAGCACTTAGCTTAGAACCTGGCTCATAGTAGGTTCCTTATAAATGTCAGTTGGCTGACCAAGAAACTTCAAAGAGCATTGAGTCTCACATATACCCCCAGCCTCGTACACACCAATTCTACAATGTGAGGAACAGTGGGGACCTTACAGAGCATGGGAGACTGAGGCAAAGAGAAGTGGTGATGAGCTGAAAGCACAGCCAGCTCTAGATCTGGGATCTTATAGGTGACTTCGGGAAAGCTACTTAACTTTCTGGCCCTCAGTTTCCTCAACAATGCCTGAAGTCAGTCCGTGGTCTATGATTCTGTGACAGACACTCAGTTCATCCCCAGGTCTTTCTAGCTTGACAGGCCTATGGAATTCTTGGGACACTCACTTAGCCTTCAGGAAGTCAGTCATCTCCACGCCGCAATGAGGCGTTGGAAGGGGTCCTAGTGAAGGGTAACAACCTCTTGTCTACAAAAAACTCTGCACTGCTACTTGAATTGGTAAAAAAAAAAAAAGGCATTGTCCTTCCTCTGGAAAGAGTACTCGGTAAGGAACTCAAAGCCAGCATTCCTACTCACCCATCGCTGCCTCTCGGATCAGTCAGACATGGTATTCTGAGCACTCAGACAGCATATTCCGAAGGTCCCTCACTTTGTATCGGAAAGCCACCCTTACAAAAGCCTCAGAGCATCTCTTGGTGTAAACAGAGGCAGGCCGAATGATCTCTGTGCGTCCATGCTTGAAGGTCCTGGTGCTGCAGGCCTCATACGTTGGTACCATCTGCCTGTATGGGGAAAGGAAAGCTCTCTCTGAAGAGAGAGCTGGATCATGGCGTCAGGGCTCACCTTCTGCCTCTTGAGGAAGGCCTTCCCTCCTTTCTCAAAGTGGAAACACTGAAAAGTCAAAGATTTCTTCTTAGCTTCAAAGTTTTCCTTGGCTTCAGAAATACCCTCTCTTAAGGTGTCATTCAGGTACAAGTCCAGCTTCCTCACCACGTAAGAGGAGTCCACATTAGCGAGGTGAGAGTAGGGTGTGATCATGGGCTCCTGAGTGCTGTCTTTAAAGATCTCATTCATGAAACGGATCACGGCCACACCATCCCCCCAAGAGGTTTCAAGGTTGACGCCCGCAAACCCATCCTTGGTGATGATCAAGTTGAAAGACTTGTCAAACCAGCGGTTCATCCCCTCCCCATGGTGGAGGGTCCGAACTAATTGGTCAGTATCTGTAACGGAAAAGTCATCTAGACCCAGGCTGAAGATGGCTGTTTCCACAAGCCTTATGGCTTCTTCATTGCCATTATTCAACAACTCATTCCGAAGCTTGGCCCAGGTGTTTCTATTTTCACTGGTCAGGTATGCCACGGGGAAGTCAGGGGTGGGACTTTCATGGGAGAGAATGTATTTCGGGTGGGCATGGATTTCTGAGGCCGTCACGATATTACCATTATCATCCAGGACATTAAAGACATAAACATTTCCATTTCGTAGCACCAAAATGTGCACCTGCTTTCGTCAGTGACCAAGTCATCCTTATTTAGGGGAATGTGGGTTGTGTTGAAAAGCCTGTAGAATTGAGACATATCCAGAGGATAGGTGCTGACCACGGAGGCTGCCATACACACAAGATCTGGAGATATGAACTGAATGAGTTTCTTAAATTGTTCATTGTCGGTCTTCTCTGGATACAGGTGCATGACCTCTGGCTCAAGGGATCCAGCCCTGAAGGTCTTCAGGAGCTGAATGGAAGATATGGTCAGGTTGGTCACTCGGGTGAGCTGGTCATTCTGTTCAGGTTTTGGATTTGCTTGGAAGGCAGGAGCTGCATTGCTATGGAAAGCTATAGAATCCCGAAGAGCTAAAAATGCCTCGATCCACATTGCTGAAAAGAAGAAAAAGGAAAAAAAAGGATCGCTGATAAGGATCAAATCCAACAATTCCATCTGGTTCAATTCAAAACACATTTTTTTAGGGACCACTGTTATGGCTCAGGAGAGAGGCCAAGGTTAGATAAGATAGAAAGGTCCCTGCCTTCATAGAGCTTTTACAAAAAGATTGATAAATATTCCAATTTATATCATTCTTTTTTTTGTGAGGCAATTGGGGTTAAGTGACTTGCCCAGGGTCACACAGCTAGTGAGTGTTATGTGTCTGAGGCTGGATTTGAACTCAGTTCCTCCTGACTTCAGGGCCGGTGCTCTATCCCCTGCACCACCTAGCTGCCCTTTCCCTATATCATCCTTAAAGAAGTGATGGGAAAACATAACTATACTGAATACCAGTGTCCAACATGGAGTCTGCAGGGAGAATTCACGTTCTTTGCTAGCCCTTGGGCTGATGCCAAGCATGGGCTGGTCCAGGGGCAAGAAACCCAGTTAAGCACAAACACCCAGCAGGGTGTTTGTATCTGACAACAGATGCAGGATTCTGCTCCTTGCAACTTTCGGTGATTCACAGGAGGTGTGCTGTATTATCTGTTCTCTGGTCCTGGGGCTGATGGAAACATGAGTTTTAAGTATTTGCCACTTAGCCTGTATCTAGCTTGTTTTGTACATATTTGCTTGCATATTGTCCCCCCCCACTAAATTGTAAGCTCCTTGAAGGCAGGGGCTGTCTTTTGATTCTTTTTGTATCCCCAGAGCTCCTGGCGTATAGTACTCAATGAGTGGTTATTGAATCAATGAATGAGAGCCATGGTGTTGAAATGTGGGGTCCAGACATCTGCTCAACGCCAGTATGTGCCAACCAAGCAGAGAGAATGAGCTTTCTAAGCCAAGTGGCGATGGCATGTTACTCTTAGCCCAAGTCTCTGCTGTCCTAGGACATAGGGAAAGGGAACACCCTCTGGGGCCTGTTAGCAGCTAGAGGCATGAGTGGCCATGGATTGACCTGCTGGACAAGGCCCTAGCTCAGGGTAGTGTGATAGTCAGTCATAGATAGTCATAGGGTGAGGAGAGCTCCTACTCTGTGGTCTCCCAGCTATGGCAGCCCTGCCTAACCCTAGCAAGGCCAACTCACTCTCCCCTATCAGGCCGTATGAAAGGAAAGCTTCCACTCTCTCAGACCTGCGCTGAGTCCAGTAAGGGGTCACCTGAGTGCAAATTCAGAGAGGGTCCTGATAATTCCCTTTGTCCCTGGATTGACATTGATATTTCCCAGGCATGTTGGTCACCTCTGAAACAGGGAAGCCCAAATGTGAGTGCACAGAGCTACATCGGTGGTAGAGATAGGGAGCTCCTGCATCACTAGGTTGTGCCATCTTGAGTCAGGGTCTCAAGAGCCCGAATGAGCTTTAGAGCTCAGCTATTCAATCCTACTGCTTACAGAAAATAAATCGGAGGCCTTGAGTCTCACCACGGTAGTAACAAGAGAATTTCCAGGAGTGGGAGTCACTAGGTCAGCAACCTCTTAGTTGAGCAGGTCACTCCCCCCCACCCCAGGTCTCAGTTTCCTTCTCTGTAATTAGGCTGGGTGGCCTCCGGGCCTTGGACACTCCCCTCCGTCTCTCCTCCTACCTGAAATGTAGCTGGTGTCCTGATGGAGCTCATCCAGGGTCCCTAGCTCTTCATGCAGATCTTTTCCAATGCCATATTTAAAAAAATGGCTCAAGAGTTCTGTTTTCCTAAGAAGGGAGAACAGAGAGTTTTAACCATTGCAGGGAAGGTCCGCACAGAAGTGGCTTCTACACAGCAAAAAAATGAAGTGGGGAACTGAGGGAAAGATGCCCCTCTGTAGGAAAAAGGGAGGAGGAAAGGGGCAGCAGACCAGAATGGGGGACCCCTGGCTTCTAGTCTCAGGAGCCCTGGGACCTTGGGCAAATGGTAACTCCTCTGAGCCTCTGTTTTCTCATCTCTTTAATGGGGCTGGAAGAAGGACCTATGTACTAGATACAAGGCTCTTCCTACAGAGAGGGCTGCTGGACCCTGAGAGGAGGAAGCAGCTGCTCACACTTTATGATGTATGTTATTCATAGGAGAGACAGGGAGAGATAGAGAGACAGAGAGAGAGAAAGTCAGACAGAGACAGACAGAGACAGAAAGGACAGAGAGAGATATAGAGAGACAGACAGGCAGAGAGAGATACAGAGAAACAGAGGGAAAAAGACAGAGAGACAGATAGAGACACAGAGACAAGAAGAGGAGAAGAGGGAGACAGAGAAAGACAGAAAAAGATAGAGAGATCATCAGAAGAGCATTGCAGGAGAAGAGGTAAGTAGTGACAGGGAGATCTCTGATGAGGGGGCACTTAGGTGGCTTTTTGGCAAGCAAAAGTGAGCCATAGAAAGATCTACTGTCTTTTTAGGGGTGTGTCTCTGGGATGTGCTGGTGAATCTCCCATGCCTTAATCTAACCTGACACCTATCCTACCCACTTTGGGTGACTCACATGGAAACAATTAATGCTATTGGAGTTTTCTAAGGAAGAAACCCACACTATCAATAGACATATGGAAAAAGCCTCCAAATTTATAATAAACAGAGAAATGCAAAATAAAACAATTCTGAGATTTCATTCACACCCATAAGATTGTCAAAGTTGGCAAAAAAGGAAAATTGTAAATGTTGGAGGGGCTGTGGGGAAACAGGCACATTCATGCACTGTTGTGGAGCTGTAAACTGACCCAGCCATTCTGGAAAGCATTTGAAATATGCTTAGAAAATTACCAAACTATGCAGACCCTTTGACCCAGCAATACCACCAGTAGGTCTCTACTCCCAAAGAGGTCAAGTACAAAAAATGCACAGCTTTTTTTGTAGTAGCAAAGAAGTAGAAACAGATGGGGTGTCTATCAACTGGGAAATGGATGAACAAATTGTGGTATATAGATAGACTGGAACACTATTTTGCTGTCTGAAATGACAAAAGGGATGGGTTTTTAAAAAAAAGTGGGAAGTGAGCAGAACCAGGAGGACAATTTACATAACAGCAACAATACAACTTCAAAAGACTTAAGAATATTGATTAACACAATGACCAGCCATCATGTCAGAGGACGACAGGGAGGCATCCACCCACCGCCTACCAGAGAAGGGATGGGCTTGCTATAGAATGGGACATGACCATCATGGGCATTTGCTTTGCTTTATTATGTAGATTTCTTACCAGAGTTTTGTTTACTTTCTTTTTTAAATAAGGGTAAGGTGAGAGGGACTCTCACAGATTTTTGTCAAATAAAAAAAATTAAATGAAATCTAGAAATAAAATTCTGCTAGAAGAAATCTGGAAAGCATTGCTAAGAATTATGATGAAGCTCCAGGGAAGAAACTGAAAAATTTAGGGCTACAGGTGGTGTTTTCATTAAGGCTACCAATTGACTGTGAAGGCTTTAGAAGAGATGACATTTGGGGGAAGCAAACAGCTGGTTAATAAGATTCTATCTGAGAATATGATTTGAATTTCTGGACTGTTGTTTAAAATATTGGAATATAAGCTTGGCAATGGAAGGAGTATATCTAACAAGGTCTAGTTTTTAATATATTATGTAATCTATATAAATATTATATCTATATGTAATAAACTACTGAAATGACTGAAGAGCCACAAGAAAACACACATACACCTGCTGTTCAGTCATTTCAGTCATGTCCAGCTCTTTGTGACCCCATGTGGGGTTTTCTTGGCAAAGATACCGGAGTGATTTGCCATTTCCTTCAGCTCATTTGACAGATGAAGAAACAGGCAAACAGGGTTAAGTGACTTGCCCAGAGTCACACAGCTAGTAAGTGTCTGAGGCTAGATTTGTACTCAGGAGGGTGAGTCTTCCTTTCTCTAGGTCCAGCACTCTATCCACTGTGCCACCTAGCTGCCCCTACATATACATACATACATATAAGCACATGCATATACACATAAATGTGCAGTATCCTTAATATATTTACACGTGCACATTTACATACACACACACTGTATACATACCTACACATGTGTATGCGTGTATATTTGCATGTGCATGCATGTATATGTGTGTGTTTACCTGTAGTCTTATCCATCTAATCTAAATTCTTTAAACTGACCAAGGAAGGGAGAGGGACAAAATGGCTTCTGTACTCCTGCCAAGCTGGCTCCCACAGAGAACAGCTCTAATGTAGGACAGTGGGCGAAATGTCCGGGAATCAGCAAGAGATCAAAGCTGATGAAGGAGCCTGTAGTAAAACCCATGCCTTCTGATGTCTTCTACACAGTGTGGTTAATAAGTAAGGCGAATCCTAATGCAAGAAGGCATAATGGAGCACCTGTGGAGTGGAAGGCTCTGGAAGGGCCCACCTCCTTCCAAAGGGCCAGAAGGGAGAAGGCAGGAGAAGGGAGAAGGAGGTGGGGCAAGCACTGTGAATTAGAGAGAGAGAGATGTGTGAGAAGATAGAAGAACCAGAGAAGGAGGTAAGACAGGAGAGCCCTCGGGGGATGGCCTCCCTACCCCCTTCACAGAAGGCAGGCGTGGGTGAAGAGTTTGGGAAATGGAAGCGGGCTTCAGTTACCCAGTTCTCTCTCCCCAAAGCAGAGCAGCTGATCACTTCACGGCGTGACTTAACAATAATTTCATCCTTCTGGAGGAAGAGGAGGAAACTAGGAGGGTCTCATTCTTCTGGATCTGATTTTCACCAAGAAGTCAACATGATGGGAAGCTTAGGGGCAGATGACCAGTCCATCTTAGCCTTAGTGACAGTGGAGGAGAGGCAAGCTGGGCATAGACTGGCATGTGTGCTGGACCCGCTGGGCTTGGGCAGGAGCATGAGCAGAACTCCATGGACTGAAATCCCTTAGGAAGGGTCAGCTTAAGAGGGGATGGGAAGTTCTCAAGATCGAAATTCTGAAAACCAAAAAGGATCCATTTGGATGAAGAGAATGGGGAAAAGTTGTTTAGGGAGACCAAGGTCAACACAGAATGAGCACATTGACTTAGGATTTTTAACTGCATGCAGAGAGAATAAGAGAGCTAATGAAGGATGACCACAGAGGCACGGCCTGGTCTTCTAAGAGTGTTAAGAGTTCTTCAGTTCAAGATGGCAAAATGGCTGGCAAAGAATGTGAGGGACAACAAAAAGTGTCTGTGTGTTTGGTTTGCATATATGTTTGGGTTTTTTTTCTCCCATACTGGAGAAGAGACTCAAAGTAGAGGTATCCAAAATCTCCTGATATAGGATGATGATAAAAATGAAGTCAGTCATCCTCAACATACTCGATATTTTGTTTCCTTGTTTCTATGCCAAGAAGAACTACCTTTAGATTGGGAAGGACAGTACAAAAATGACTAATAGAGAGTTGAAATACAAGATTTGACCAAGTCTTTCATGCCATTGTAATTGCCAACATGGAGATACAGGAACTAGATGGATTTGGAGCTAGTGGAATGGCTAAACCCAAAGATGTCACGATTGATGACTTGACATCATCTTGGAGGGTGAGGCTGAAGAGCCAGAGGCTCTCCCATGCCCCACCCCACCACAGAGTTCTCATAAGCCTCAGAGAAAAGGACATGAGGGTGGCTGTGAATGTAAACATGGGTTCCCCCATTGACTTGGGTCAGGAGGCTTCCTCTTTACCAGTCTGTACCTGAATTGGTCATCATCTAAAATAGGCTTTTGGGCATTTAAGTGTCTTCTCACAGAGTCTATCAGATCTGGGACAGGCAGCCTGAAAGGGAAGAGAAAAGGTAGGTTAAAGTCTGCGTGTGTACATGCTGCCTTCCCCATTAGAATATCAGGACTTTTTCGAGCTTGCATCCTCAAGAGCTTAGATGTGCCCAGCACATAATAATAGCTAGCATGTTCATGGTGCTTTAAGGTTTGCCAAATGTTTACAGATATTATTTCATTTTATCCTCATGACAACCTTGGGAGGTAAGTGCTATTATCGTCCCTTGCTTATAGCTGAGGAAACTGAGGCAATCAGAGGTTAAGTGACTTGCCCAGGGTCACAAAGCTAGTATGTTTGAGATAGGATTTGAACTCAGATCTGTCTTGATTTTCAGTCCATCCATTACTCCACCTTGTTGTCTCTAGGTACTCAGGACGTGGTTGTTGATTCTTTGCTGTTTCTAAAGTGAATGTATAACAAGACCCTAGGAACAAGATAGATTTTTTTAAGGTCGCCAACTCCCACGGCTTTATTTATCCACTCTATACAGAGGTTTCTACATCTGTATATCCAGCGCCTGTATCTTTCCCAAGTCCCAGGCCCCTACGTGGCCAGCTGCCTGCTGAACGTGACCACCTCAATGTCCCATTGGCCTCTCCAGTGTGCCGTTTCCAAAATGGAATTAGACATCTTCCTCTCTATACCTACAAAGATGGATTTTATCCCCACGCTTAACTTAGCATAATGCCTGGCGTGTGGTAGGCACTCAATTTTTGTCGACTTGACTGGACTTGAGAGATGAGAGATGAGGAGGCTAGTTGGGAGGGCTCCTATTTCTCCATTTTCATTGGTTTTATCTGGTAGTGGCACCGTTGTCTTTCCCGTCACTCAGGCTTGAAACACCGGAGTCACCGTGGACCCTTCCCTTTCCCTTTTCTAAACCAGCTGGTTGCCCAGCTCTGTTGATTCTGCCTCTGCCTCTTACATCCGTCCCCTAGTCTTCCCTCCTTCTACCTCTACTCAAGTTTAGGCCATCATCTGACCTCCCCTTGACTATGGTAATAATCTCATGAAGTTATAGCTTGTAAGGAACACTTGTTCTAAAGGGCTCTCTGGGCCTTCATTTTCCCATTTGTGAATGGAAGACACCAATGCTCGTTACAAGGTCCTACGCCACCAGTTTACTATGAAGAACAAATGAGGTTATGTTTGAGAAAGAACTTTGGAAACTGGGAAAATGACCCTAGAAGCAGCCAGGGATTATATTGGATGCTTCTGGACCTGCCTGGACTGCCTCAATTTCACCAGCTCTTACCTGGGCAGATGAATACCTAGACAAGTGTATACCTAGGCAGGAGCTGACCCCGCTGGGGGCTTACCTGCTCAGACTTCTACTTAATCAGTTATTTTCCTGGGTAGGCCCTTATCTGGCCAAGAGCTTAGCTGGGCAGGCATTTACATGGGCAGGAGCTTAACCATGGGCAGGAGCTTAACTAGATAGGCATTCAGTTGGGCAAGAGCTTACCCAGGTCAGCATTTATCTGTGAAAGTTCTTACCTGGATGGACATCTACCTTGGCAGAAATTTACCTGGACAAGAGTCTGAAAAGGAACTTACCTGAGAAGGTGATTACCAGGGCAGGAGCTTGCATAGGCAGGTACTTATCCAGACAGGCTCTGATCACCAGGCCAAGAACTTACCTGGTTAGGAGCTTGTCTGAGCAGGAGGTTACCTGGCCAAGAGCTTAGCTGGGCAGGCATTTACCTGGACAGGAGCTCCCTTAGGCAGGCACTTCTCTAGGTAGGCTTTTACCTGGCCATACCCTTACCTGAACACATCCTTACCTGGGCAGGCTTTACTGATGGTACATGGTGTCCATGATGCTGTGATGTAGGTAGTCTGTGTGCTTTATTGGATGAGTTCGGAAGGCCCAAAGGTCCCTGGAGGGAACTAAACTCCTCAAAGTGCCTCTATGGCAGGTTATAAGCTTCCTTAAGGCTCTCTTGGCAGCCACCTGCCCAGGGGATAGTGCCAGGCACAGGCCATGGGCTCTAGAAGCTTGGTGGCCCCTCCCTAACCCCCTTAATAATTTAGCCTCTGCAGCGGGGCCCCTAGTTACATCTGATTGTGAAGCCTGGCTCCCAACCCCAAGAACCGTACTGGGGTAAAGATGGGGTGGGAGGTGCTTGCTTAAAGCTGCTCCCCAGACCTGTTTCCCCACAGGTCCAGTGGGACAAGGGTGCCCGGCCTCATGGAGAGGCACCTGTGGGTGATTTTGGCCTCCAGAAAGCATCAAAGCATCTTCTACTCCAAGAAGGAAGCTGCCCACCCCACAAGAGGACCAGTGGGCAATCAGGAAGCTGCAGGGTGCTGCTGTGGTCCGCCTTGGACTGGGACACTTGTCTTCACTTACAAAAGGCTGGCTTCACCTCCATCTGGTTCTGTTTGGCCGATTTCTTTCATGGTGGCTTCATTGACGAGGCTTTCCCCCAACTCCTCAGCAGATCTGTCCTGCTTGGGCTCCAGCATCTACCTGGCTCAGTGCCCTGGTGAGGAATAAGGAGACAGAGCAATGGCTAGGTCCTCCCCAATGCCCCCGTGTGGGGCACTCTCTCCCAGCCCCCCTCCTTCCCCCCCAATATGGAGACCAGGGGCTGGTTCACTGTTGTCCTCATGGCTCTGGTGCCCAGCACATGACAGAACGCTTGTCCATTGTTTGGGTCTCATTTCCAGGTAGATTTCTTTCTCATTTGGCTTTCTTTCTCTCCCTCCCTCTCTCTCTCTCTCTCTCTCTCTCTCTCTCTCTCTCTCTCTCTCTCTCTCTCTCTCTCTCTCTCCCTCTCTCTCTCTCCCTCTCTCTCTCTCTCTCTCTCTCTCTCTCTCTCTCTCTCTCTCTCTCTCTCTCTCCTTCTCTCTCCATCTTTATCTCTCTGTCTCTGTCTCTGTATGTCTCTGTCTCTCTCTCTCTTTTTCCTTCTCTCTCTCTTTACTTCTTTCTGTCTCTGTGTGTCTTTCTGTGTTTCTGTGTCTCTCTGTGTCTCTCTGTGTCTCTCTGTCTGTCTCTCTGTCTGTCTGACTGTCTGTCTCTCTTTTTCCTTCTCTCTCTCTCTTTACTTCTTTCTGTCTCTCTCTGTGTCTCTCTTTCTCTCTGTCTCTATGTCTGTCTCTGTCTGTCTCTCTCTGTGTCTTTCTCTCTCCAGTTTTCTCATTTGTAAAGCAAAGATTGGATTCTCTCTTTCTCTGCTCAATTCCTAAAACGCGTTTTGTTTGGGTCGTTAGCTTAACCCCTAAAGACAGTTCTATGTTGTTAGATGGCCCAGTGGACAAAGCACTGGACCTGGAGCCAGGAACTCCTGAGTTCAAGTCCAGCTTCTCACTAGCTGTGTGATAAGTCACTTCACCTTTGCCTGCCTCAGTTTCCTTATCTGTCAAATGGGGATAATAATAGCACCTCCCTCCCAGGATTATTGTGGAGATCAAGTGGCATAATATTTGTAAAGCTCTTTGCAAACTTTAAAATGCTACCTAAATGCTAGCTATTATTATTGTTACTTATTATTATCATTATTATTTTCCTAGGTGCAAGCTCCGTCTTTCCCAATTAAACTATAAGTGTCCTGAGGGTAGGAACTAAGTCTTCAAAGTCACTGGAAGTCTCCTCAGAGACCATCTGAGAGTAATGTAGAAATAGCCCAGTTTCTTGAGTCAGAAGACTTGGGTTCAAATCCCACCTCTGACAATTACCATCTGTGTGACCTTGGGTTAATCAATTCTTCTCCTCATCTATAAAATGAAGGGATTGGACTCTGAAGTCACTTTCAGCTTAGATCTGTAATCCTGCAACCTGACTGAGAATCTCCTCTCCTGACATCCCCAATAGTGGCAAACCGCTCTCTGCATGACAGGGAACTCATTACCTAGCCAGGCCTTTCCTGACGTCAAGCACAGAGGGTGAAGAAGTCCTGATGCTGATGCCCTGATCCTCTCCCACAGCCTGGGAGCACAGGGTCAAGCTTCCCTTCTCCTTCCTCATCTCTCTCAGTACAACTCCTGATTCTATGATCTCATTCCCTTGACCGTGATTCACACATCCATGAGGACCAAGCATAGTGTTACGTACGCTTCAAGGATCCTGGCTCTGAGACGAATGGGATGTCAGAGGCCATCCAGTCTAACACCCCCTTTTTACAGGTTAGAAAACTCAGTTAAGTGGCTTAAGACATTGGGTTCAAGATGTATAGTTGGAAGAGACCTCAGGGGCCCTACCTGTTTTAATCATAACAAAAATAATAGCTAGCATTTATATAGGCCTTTAAGATTTGCAAATTGCTTTACGTATATCTCATTTTATACTCATGGAAACTCTGAGAAGTAGGTGATGTTATCCCCACTTTACGGATGAGGAAACTGAGGCAAATACAGGTGAGGAGACTTGCCCACAGTCACAAGGCTAGGAAGAATCTGAATTCAGATCTGCAGACACTTGAACCTGTGTTCTTTCCATTGCCTTACACTGAGAGCTGGGTTTTGGGGGTGTTTGTCTTCCCTTCACTGATGCATATTGCAACCCCTCTACATGTTAGGGACAGGTCTCTATCCCCTGCAGGTAGGCGCCGTTTGTGACCTACACCAAGACTGGTCCTGAGACTGTGAACATCTCCAGAACTGTCCACACTAAAGATCTAGTTTGTGTAAGATTTTCTATTTGAAAGGAAAATAAATCTATCCCCTGCAAAGAACAGGCAGGTACATTCTGCCAAAGAAGAGTCAAGAGAGCTTGAAATTAAGCATGAATTAAGAAGAGAAAATAGGAACCGTTAGCTTACTCACACACCTGTGACACTGGCCCACAGAGATGTTTGTGACCCCTTGAAATTCATTGTCCCAGGAAAAACGTCACCATGAAGACCCATGTTCACCAGAATCCCTCACAGGCCTACTCTACTTCAGACTGGGGGGCCGAGGAGCCCCCATGATCGACCTGGGGGGCTCAGCCCTCACAATTCTCTCCATGCCCCACGGCTGCCAGTTGCCAGTGGTCAGCTGCCTGGCCAACTGACATCAGCTTGTGGAACCTTCTTGGGGAAGTTGGTGAATGGGGGTTGGGGTCCAGCTACCCTCACCCCATCCCCATGGAAGGAGGCTATTGTCTCAGAATCCATCCCATTCTCGAGCACGCTAAACCCTCTCATTTCCCTGAGTGTCTTTTTATCATGAGACCTAGCTAGGTGTGAATGGCCCAGCTGCAGCCTAACTGGGGCTGTGAGCAAGTCGCTTCCCTGTGGGAGCGTCCATTTCCTTATCTATAAAATGAAGGGGTTGGATTAGATGAAGCCCACATTTCCTTCCATGTCTGTATCCTGTGACATGGAAATCATTTATAGGTCTGCATCTTATTCCAATGAAATAGAGTGGAAGCTCCTTGAGGGCAAAGACTGTTATGCTTTGTTTTTATAATCCTTACCACCAGGCCCATAGTAGATGAACTGAATTGAAGTGGGAAGCTTAGCTTAATATTTTCACTGATTTTTCTCCCTTAAATCAGTTCTTCTTCTCTTCTTCCCAATCCACTTTTAGCCTTCACCTCTTGTGATTTAATTGTTTTTTAATTTTATATAGCCAGAATCAGGGAGAGGGTCTTCTTCATATCTGTCAGTCCTCCCCAAAGGAAAAATCACTTCATCTGGAAGTTCCATTCCCCTGGGAAATGGATGGGGAACAGAAACATGGATCCTGGGAGCTGGGAAGAGAAAGGAGGTAGAGGGTGCTTACTGATCTCTGGCTCATCAGGTGCCTGGGATCACAGACCCAGAGCAGGAAGGGACTCTCTGGAGTTCCTCCTCTCATCCAACAAAGAAGTCTGAAGCTGTGACTTGGCCAAGGGCCCACACGGTTGTCACCATGAGGATTCCACACCAGGTTCTTTGACTCTGAAGCCAAAGCTCCTTCCTCTTCGTAAAGATGTTTGTGATTAGGGTAGCATGGCATAGCAGAGGTGTCAACCCCTCGGAAATAAGCAAAAATATAATAAAACATACGTAATGGTGCATTGTGAAGCCAAGTCAATACACAGCCCATAGGGATCGTTATATAAAGACTGTCGTTCAGTTGTATCCGACTCTTCACGACCCCATTTGGGGTTTTCTTGGCAGAGATACTGGACTGGTTTGCCATTTCCTTCTCCAGCTCATTTTACAGATGAGGAAACTGAGGCAAACAGGGTGAAGTGACTTGCCCAGGGTCACCCAGCTAGCAAGGGCAGATTTGAACTCCAGTCCTCCTGACTCTAGGTCTGGCACTCTGTGCATGGTGGCGCCACCTACCTGCCCCTCCACCTCAGTCCTGGACCACTACGATACGCTCTTACTGGTTCCGGTGCCTCCAGCATCTCCTGGTTATGGCTGAGGAACACAGCCAGGCTCCCTGGGCCACAAGGGAATCCAACCCAAGACTGTGACCTCACTGGTGCCAAGCTCTAAACAACTCGGCTGAACTTCATTCTCAACATTCTTTCCAGGCTCAGTCTTGCTTGGCCCAGAGGCTTGTTTTCTGTTTGTTTCTGTCTTTTCTGAAGTGTCAGAGCCCAGCTGCTTCCACCTTTGAGGACAAGCCAGCTCTGGTGGGCTCCTCCCTCCTGGCCCAAGAAATCACAGAGCCAGGCATGGATGTGTAGACTTTGGGAGCTGGCACCTCCCCTGGTCCAGTCTCCTCATTTTACAGATGGGGAAACTGAGCCCCAGAGAGAGGGAGAGACGTGCCATAGCTTCCCCTTCCTGGAGCACAGGGCTTGGCACTCAGCAGAAACTGTTTGTGGAATGATAAATGAGGGAGTGATCGGCGTAGCAGACAGGTTGGTGCTGGGCCTGGAGGAGTAGTTGACGGCCTAGCACTCTTAAAGTAATAATAATAATGACTAACATTTATATAACCCCTACTATAAGGCAGCTGGGTGGCTCAGCAGATAGGGTCTGGAGTCGGAAAGACCTGAGTTCAAATCCAGCCTCAGGTATTTACAAGCTGTGTGACCCTGGGCAAGTCACTTAATCCTGTTTGCTTCAGTTTTCTCATCTGTAAAATGAACTAGAGAAGGAAATGGCAAGTCACTTCAGTATCCTTGCAAAGAAGAACCCATGAACAGTGTTGACTGGATGTGGTCTATGGAATCAGTAAGAGTTAGACACAGCTCAATGAGACGTTCCAGGTACTGGGTTAAGCACTTTACCATCATCTCATTCAATCCTCACAACAATTCTTGGAGGCAGGTGCTATTATCATCTCCATTTTATAGATGAAGAAACTGAGGCAAACAGAAGTTAAGTAACTTGTCCAGGGTCACACAGCTAGAAAGTATCTGAGGCTGGATTTGAACTCAAATCTTCCTGCCTCCAAGCTTAGTGCTGTATCCATTACACCACCAGCTGCCCTGGCATATAACGTGAGTCACTGAGGGAAAGAGAGCCGGGCTGAAAGTCCAAAACCCTGGCCTAGACCTGGCCCAGTTGTTATTGGAATCTATGACTGGGCAAATCTCTTTCCCTGAGGGGCACAGCTATACTGGAGGTTTGGGCCAGCAGTACAACCATATCAGTAATTAAGGCAAAGTCAGGGCAGTTGGGGATCAGGGCAGGGCTGGGTTGAGGAGAATTAATGGTGCAATACACCTCTCTCCTCTCAGTAGACAAGCAGAGGAGTACAGCTGTGGAATGAGGCATACACAGTTGGATGAGGTCATAACATCTATTGATTTCCCTTAGATGTTTTTGTTACAAGTGAGGGCTCAATGTGGGGAGGGGGAGCAGGATGTGGGGGTGGGGGGCCTGGTGACTTGGATGTAAAAACAAAAGGTTTTTAAACATGTTTTTCAAAACACGCAAACGTAACCCATTTTCAATTGCACAATCTTCAAAAGCCATCGTTCTGAATTTTTGTGATTTCTACGCGCTGGTGCTGCCCCAGCAGAGTACGGGTCACCCCGCCTTAATCGTGATCCTGGTGAGGGCCGGGTGAGATGGACAAGCACTCTGAAAACCATGGAGAATCGTATCAGGGCTAGGTGGGGTCCCAGGAAGTCCACTGATGATGTCCTGGATGTCTTCTCATGGGGTGGCCATGACCCTGGGCTCTTTAAGGCTATGGTAACAAAGCAAAGGTTTTGGCAGATGGTATCCAGATAGGATGCCTGGTGCTGTGTGGTGTGCATGCATGTGTGGCACCTACCAACCCCAGGCTAGCCTAATCCAGAAAGGCCTATGACCAGATTGGCCACTTTTTTGACCGCAGTAACCCATAAAGATGGTTAATAAGGCAAGGAGGGGTCAAATCGGCATCACGAATCTTTGGAATGCAGCAGAAAGCAAGCCTCTTTCCCGTTCTGGGCCTCCTGTCCCTGCTTATAAAACAAGGGAGCTGTATCAGACAGCCTCTAAGATCCCTTTAGCTACATTGTAACCTCCTCCCGGCCAAATCTCTATAACCCTGATGTAACGTTTCTAGGGGTCTTACCGCTGCTTTGTGTTATGACAACCAGAGTGTTGATTTGCAGGAGGAGGCAGGGACCAAATAGAAGTGGGGTCTGGGTAGGGGGTGATGTCAGACTGGGCGCATTTCTATAATTTACAAACTAACCAAGGTAGATCCAGCTTACCTCCAGGACAACTTAATCATGTCTGTTATTTTATTGAGGAACGGTTGTCAAACTCCCTTCCTTACCCTTGAAAGCATTTTATCCCAAGAAATACAGATGACAACAAGGATCTCTAGAGTGGACATCAGCCGCAGGAGGGGGATGCCAGCTGAGGCACCTAGATATGCAAGCGCAGTCAACCGGTGAGCAGGATGACAGGGGAGCCTGGAACTTGGCTTCAACTTGACCAGTGACAATAATGACAACAGGAGGTAGCAGAAGGGGATCATCCTGGATTGTTATTTCAGTGACTCTTGGGGAAACGAGCATCCTAGGGAGAGGAGTGAACAGTCATAGTGAATCAGGAGTCATTTCTACTTCCACATATTGCCCACATATACCCCTTCTGCCTGCCCACATGGTCCCCATCCTGGTTATAGATCTCATCACCTCACATATGGACTGCTGCAATAACCTCCCAATTGGCCTCCTTGCTGTCAAGCCTCTCCTCACTCCTATCCCTCTTCCAATTAGGTGCCAAAGTGAGCTTCCTACTGCTCATATCTGACCCTAATCAATTAATTCTGGTGGCCCTCTATGACTTTCATCCTTTGCCTGTCTGCTTATACTTTACTCCCTCCCCTCCAGTGACATTGGCCTCTTTGCTCTTCCTCACACAAAATAACCATCTCCAGACTCCAGGCCTTTGTAATGGCTGTGCCCCATGCCTGGAATGCTTCCCTCCTCACCTCTGTCTCCTGTATTCCTTCAAGTCTCTGCTTAAATCTCACCTTCTGTAGGAAGCCTTTCTTGCCCACCCCCACCCCCCCATCTGCTAATGCCTTCCCTCTGAGATGACCTTCCATCAAGCCTTGTATCTATCTGGTTATTTCCATGTTACCTTCCCCATCAGACTATAAGCTCCTTGAGGGGTAAGAATCATATTTATTTATTCATTCTTTCACTCATTTATTTATTTATTTATTTGGTTGGTTGATTGTTTACTTATTTATTTCCTTGGCATCCTCAGTATTCCTGGCCCTTAGCCTGTTAAGTGACCACAATCCACAGAACCTCTCAACGGATTGAATTCAAGAGGTGAGGAATCCCCAGGATTACAGAGCCAAGATGCAAGACAAATAATGGAATTGTGGAAACAAAAAGTGAAAAGTAGAAAGAGGAGAAGATGTAGGAATTTTTAAAAAATCACTTTTTGAGGATCTGGTGAGACATCAAAGTGGAGGTGTCTTGGAGGCACCTGGACACAGAGCCTGGACTTTCAAACCGAGGTCAGGGATGGAGACAGAGATCTGAGAGTTATCAGCATAGAGGCTGTGAGGAACAGAGAGCATAAGTCATTTTCCCAGGGTTACACAGCAGAACCAAAATTAGAACCC